GACATGGCTTTGATTGCATCCAGAGTAGGAAATACTTTATCCTCAGACTCAATGGTGTTCTTTCAACCGAATATACATTCAGAGAGCGATTTAAGTGGGCCATTTTCAGTGAGTGATGTGGTGAAGATCGTTCTTCATAAACATGCTGGCACCGAGCTTCAGTGATTTCAATATTCAATGGTTTTCCAGGGACATCGTGGTGTCTTTTGTTGTGGAGATTTCGAAAATATCATTTCTATGCTATACACAAGGCTACTAACAAAATACAAAATACGTCCATAGGGGTCCAGCTATTTCAGCTCTACTTGCATACGGGTAGTCACTTGTGTTTTTAATATTTGTCACCTGAAGGACGTTTTTTACCATTTGGTAACATGACGTATAAATGATAAGATTCCATAGGGCGTAAAAGATAATGAATTGATGAAACTGATATGAATGGACATTGAAAACGAAATGCTTAACGTTTGATTATTAACCACTTACACTTTACTCACCATCCCTGCTATGTTTCGGTATACCGGATTCGACGTAATAAGCGCCCAGGACGCTATTAGAAATAGGGGGCTCTTATTAGAATATTATTTTGGTGAGTTGAAAAATTTCGTGGTTTATGCTGACAGCCTGAAATGTTTATGAACGACAGATAATTTTTTCCAGAATTTAATTGCCCATAATTAAGGGTGCATATAACACACGAGTGCGTATTATACGCGAATAAATGTCCTGTGTACATTGATCAATCGGAAGGGGTGCTAATTGGGATTGTTCACAAGTCAATATATTAGCAAATGTCGCCGTGGGCGCTTATTAGAGCGGGGCGCTTATTACGTCGCATACGGTAATGAGAATCAGAACAATGACGCCTTTTGCTTACACAATGGGTGACGTTTAACGCCACTTTGAACCAAAGTATTGCAATATCCCCGCGTGAGACAAGAATTATGACTGGGAATCGAACACAGTGTATATCGTGACAGGAGAACACACTACCAATGGACTACCTATCTATTTGTCATCAAATCTTAAAGCAGCAACAAACGCGTACAGTGAAGTTCAGTTACTCCGGACGATATGGTTCTCGAGAACAGTGGCCGGATAAACGAGTTCCGGATCAACATATTAAGGTTAGGGATTAACGCAAGTTGTAGAACTATTGACATCTGATGTCGTCACACTATTGCTGTAGATGATTCTGAGCCAGTTCGTTGACCGCCCCGAACGTGCATTTCAACAAGTGAAACTGACACGTCTTTTGGTCATAATGTCAAATTACAGATATATTATATATCAACCATAACATGGTGTAAGTCAGGGTAATCTCGAATCTGTTACTTTCGGAAGTAGAATCACTCGCCACTTCGAGGATCATTGATTCTACTTCAGAATCAACAGATACTCATGATTTCTCCCTAACGTAGTCAACTGGGAGTCGGAGTGTCCACAATAACGGTGTCTGGACTAATGAGGTTGCGCTGTATATGTTTCAGGTGATTATTGAAATATTACGCGTCAACGCCGTAACACATACAAACACTCAATGTATTCTATATCACTACATGTGAGTGAGTGAGTATGGTTTTACGCCGCTTTTAGCAATATCCCAGCAACATCACGGCGGGAATACTAGAAATGGGCTTCACACATTGTACCCGTGTCAGGATTCGAACCCGGGTCTTCGGCGTGACGAGCAAACGTTTTTACCACAAGGATAACCGACCGCCGTTCACTACATGTTTGTTTGTTTGTTTGTTGTTTAACATGCACCATCCGATTCCGTTAGTCGCCTCATACGACAAGCATAGTCGCCTGTTACGGCAAGCATGGGTTGCTGAAGACCTATTCTACCCCGGATCTTCACGGGGCGTACACTACATGTACACGCCAACACGAAACAAACAATTTTCATAGAAACCAAAAATAAAATATAATGTTTGAAATGAGTAGTTTCCCTTGTTGATAAGTTGAAACCTTTATATACTCTATGTTCAAAATACGTTCGCGTGGTGTTTTCGTCAGTGGCTTAACAGTGTAGGAGACATGAAATGTCACTTTTTACCCATCAAGACAGGGGAACGTATCTCGTGAAGTATGGTTAGGTTCTCACAGTTGCTCTGAGGGCGTGGACATACGACCCGTACGTCATCACAGTGGTATCAACTCGCTAACGAGAATAGTCACCTCTTTATCGGTGTCCTTGCCAATACTTAAATAACCCAACAATGTCCTCTGTTTCCCACACATGTTCGTAAATATATGAATAGTTCATTCAGTGATTATTTATTGACAAGAACCGATTTACATCGTTCAGTGGCCCTGTTAAGTGTTCTTTGAAAGACGATCCTTGACTGACGATAAATGTAGGTGCATTACGGAACCAGCTAAATGGACATCAGCCAAGTGCGGACGTCGTTTATGAGATGGTGGGATGTCAGGCGTTTGGGTTGCATTTTCTGTTGATGGAGTTGGTGTTCATTGGAGTTGCGTTAGTTGTTGATGGAGTTGTTGTTCGTTGATATTGTGTAAGTTGTTGATGGAGTTGTTCGTTGTTGTTGTTTTAGTTGTTGTGGGTGTTGGTGTTCATTGAAGTTGCGTTAGTTGTTGATGGAGTTGTTGTTCGTTGATATTGTGTAAGTTGTTGATGGAGTTGTTCGTTGTTGTTGTTTTAGTTGTTAAAACCCTTAATTCACAAACAAAAAACATAAAATTATATTGCTTCTAATCTAAAAATAAACCAGTGTATGTACAATGTTATAAGTAATTTCGAGATTGTGCATGTACACGTGACCCATACTGTGTTATCTTATGGCGCGATAATTGCTTGTGTATATCAAGCTATGTTTATCACTACATTTCCCCGGGGTCTCCATCATCAGGGGAAGGCATTTAGTGGCCATTTGGACGATAATGAAGACATCACGGTCCGCCGAATGGCGTCCTACTAACATTAATATCTGGGCCATTAATAACACTCGGGATGATCAGTTTACGATAGGACGAATAACAACAAATTAATTACCACAAGGATTAGATTTTGTGGCAATTTATAGTAATATTTCTTGTAACTACGGGGGTCCCCGTCTGAAGAAGGATAATACAAGACAATCGTGTTATAACGAGCCAGTCTTGAGGACACTATGAACAACCCGGATGGAAGGTCTTGCAATGGGATGATCAGACACTGTATCAGTAAACTAACCACTTCCACACAAATTAAACACTTTTGACAGGTTGTTGTGGGACATGGGATTGGCGTTCGCGTTTATTGCCAGAACCAAATTGATTCAGTGATAATAGAAAAACACTTCAACTCTTTCCTTTTTTAGGCTTAAAGCAGGACTATTTAAACAGGCTGCAGAGAAGTGTTGTGAATGCGGGCTCTCCAGACTATATAGTCTACCCATCGGTTCTTCGTCGGTATCAAAAGAATGATCTGAGACTGTTCTGTCGCCTTGAGAACTTTGAACGATTGACTATTCTTTGGCGTCTTTTGGTTTAAGTTTGACATTAGTCTAGTAGCTACTTTTATGTTCGTTACATGTCACACACTTGTAAATAAGATAGCTAAATGTGTAGGATGTTCTTGTCAACATGGAACAAGAACAGGTACAGTTCCTGCTTCAGGCGGCTGTGTGGTTTGTCTGCTTCGTGATTCAAGCGCTGGCATCAGCTCTGACCCAGCACTCTTTACACACAGACAAAGCTACTTTTTTGTTACTTTAAATCGGGTTTCTTTGTGCAGTGGCAACATCTAACCACACACAATCATGCCACTGCCTTGATAACGAAACGCCAGGAAAGATCGTTAAGGACAACAACAAGTTGAATTTCAACGCGGCGCTATTCAAATATGCTGTTGGCTTGAACGTGGTCTGGACTAAGAATTGCGGCCTCTCCAATTATATGCAACGATAGGTTGAACCGAAGTTAACTATGGTCTGAAACATTGTATTCTTCCACGGAAATATAAATTGCAGACTGCAGTGTTCATTACACGCTGAACAGAATTAAAAGCTCCGGGGAGAGGTGGGTGTAACGTTTCGAAATATTAATATCAATTCTTTTCATATTGTCCAGAGCCCATTGGCAAAACAATGAAACCCCAATGACCATGGCGATAACGATTGTACGGATTAGAAAACAATGTCCAGTGTCAGGACCATTTTATGTACGTTATAGTGGAGCAAAATACTCCCCTTTCAAATTAGGAACGAAAATCGAACAAATATATATTGTCAAAACATTGTTGTATTTCGGAAAGTTCCATGGCTCAAACACTACAAATGACACCCGTTCCAAACATGTTTCCTTATATGGAATTTTGTATCGCATTGAAATGCAATCGATATAATTATATACCATTTGGAAGAATTGGATAGCAATTAAGTCTTTGATAGACATTTAGAAGTTGGAAGAACATAAATACATGAGACTTTTGTGTGGTGTACTCCACTGTGCTTTATTCATATAAACCACATATGCCTAATTGCTAGTGTTCACATAGAACTTGAGCCTGCTATTACACCCAGACCAATCACATATCCTTCAGTGTGTTTAATTGGCTTCTCCCGCTAGTCTCATTATATTGCTATCTTTGTACATTAAACCTATGTTGTGTAGACAACATCATGTGTATATTCTTATTAACTCTATACGCTTACGCGTATTCACCTGATGGGAGACGACGCAGAATATATGAAGTTGTATCATTAAAAAAGTGTCATTTTTTCTTGGATAGCCATGTACGGCATTGGGTAGCATTGTATTGCAGTGAGTGTCTATGGCTTTTTTGGATTGGGTTGTCTGGAGTGTTCTGAATGCGGTCTGTATAAACTTAAACCTGCAGATGGCATGTTTGTTTGGAACCAAATTGAACGTAATTTAAGGTTGGAGTGGGACTATGTGGGTTTGAAAGCGTTTTGTTCAGTGAACAATGCACACCGATGGCCCTAGCAGTGGAGTGTACAAGCAATGCGAGACGGACATAGAAATATACCTACTTTGTATGCCGCTAAGTGGTTATCTTTGAATTCGGACGGTTTGATCTTGCTGAGTAGCTCCCCGAGTTGAGACAAAGATTCTTTACTCCGGGTTTTCATCTGCAAGAAATATACACTCATCACACAAGGGACATGCTGCGTTCTGACCAATGGTCAATCGAATGTCCAGAGACTGTAACAAGGATACGCATGGGAGATGTTCTGGTTAACAATACAGACAGGTGTGAATAAGAGCAGGTTTACTGACTGTCTGGCTGAGTATGGTTTTACGCCGCTTTTAGCAATATTCCAGCAATATCACGGCGGGGGATACCAGAAATTGGCTTCACACATTGTACCCATGTCAGGAGTCGAACCCGGGTCTTCGGCGTAACGAGCGAACGCTTTAACCACTAGGCTACCCGACCGCCCCTCGTGTTTACTTCAAATGAGTGATTCCCATACGTAAATAATTACTTTGTTTGTTGTTTAACGCCGCACACAGCAATGTTCCTGGTATGTGACGGTGGTATTTGACTAATCGAATTTGGATCAGACAATCCAGTGATTGACATCATGAACACCAATCTCCGAAATGGGGATACGACAACACGCTTCAACCAAGTCAGCGAGCCTCACCACCCGATTACTTAGTCGCCTTTTACGTCAGCCATGGGTTGCTGAAGACCTTTTCTCCCCCGAATATTCACGGGAAAATAATTACTTCATTTGTATGGTTCCTGTTAGTTTGAGACATACTTTCCGTGAATAAGCTGCAATATGTCTGACTCGGCCAAACTTGCTTTTAGTTCACTGTCGTTTATCTACCCCCTGGGGCTATGGCTGCTCCTAACATTAAACTACTCCTAGCTCTTTCACTTACACATAATCAACTCAGAAGTCAGCCAGCAGATTTGGGAGACACCATAGTTGGATCTTTTCCACACTATTTCCTCTACAACTATGAAATGAGTGAGTGAGTATGGTTTTACGCCGAACCGGGATTCGAACCCACGATCATAGGTTTCTGGCGTGTCCAAGCGACGTAACTCTGAATAGCGAATTGCGGCGCCTTGGACGACAGAACCATCAGTGCCATTTCATTTGTACAGTGGTTTCAAAGAAGGAATCCAGAAAGGATTACGAAGGACTACGGATACAAACCACTCAGTAATGGAATGGTTTATGATATTAATCAACACAATGACGGCGATGAGTCTACCATGTCATCACAAGAGATATATCGGAAACATATTCACTGCTTACTCGCAATGAAGGACTTTATCTTTATACGGTACATTGAACTTACCAATTTTAATAATGAAAATGGTTGGCGCCCTTTCCTGGAATCACGTGCATCTGTGAATGAAAAACAATTATTTGACCAACTACATTATTTGTTGTAAATATAAAACAGCAACGCCAGAGAATAACCAACTCGAATATCCGATGAAAGAGATTTCATTGGGCGTAAACGGAAATAGCGGTGAAAACTATTTGAATGGATAACCGAAAATCATTTAAGACGAAAGGTGTTCACATCCTATTGAGACCAAAAGAATTGAATATAATACTGTCAGTAAATTTCTTCCAATCTCAACTGATGCATTGTTTTATGGCGTTCTAAGTGCTAGAAGGTAAACCATGCCACGAAACTACACAAAGCGGATATTACATTTTCCCCCATGTTTTTCACACAGGAAAATTTGACATTGCCCAATTAGACCGTTCAGGGAAAATTCTATTTTTCATGGGAATCAGGATTGCAAAACCCGTTTGATGGCTACTCTTGGAGCACTATGCACATTGAATGTCTTGCCCAGCGGTATTGTAAAACTAACTGACATTCCCCAGTGCAGCAAACAAGTCTTTATAAGCAGGATACTTTAAAATCAATGTCTTTCAACCTTGTTGCAAAATTTGGAAAGAAGTGAACGATTTTAACTCTTATATCACAGTAATCTATCATCGTTTCATTTTTTAGGACGGTAATTACAAAACGATTTGGACACATATTCAAATTGCTCCAGCAACAGAAAATAACATGTTGAATTTTTTGGTAACGTTAAAACGTTGAAGGACAAGAATACGTATACTACATACATAATTACCCCTTTTCATAAAGGAATATTAATGGGTATTAATTCTTATGCCTGATATTGTGGACACACGAGGAGAGGTGAGATTGCCTACTGGTTAATGCGTTGGCTCGCCATGCCGAAAACCTGGTTCTATTCCCCATATGGGTACAATTTGTGATGTCCCTTCTTGATTCCCCGCGGAAAATGCCTGGAATAGTGATAAGAAAGGTCCCAAACCATCCCCCTCACTCATTCACTGACGAGTGTCCAAGGCGGTTCAAGAATGATGACACACGAATAGCAACAAAATTTCCGATGCGACGTTAAAGAATGACAGCTCACTCCATGGTGATTGCGACAACAGTGGCGTCAGATAGTTTACTGGTAAAGGTGAGTGATTGAATTTACACCTAAATTAAAAAAACAAAACAAAATGAGTTAATATTACGTTTCTCACTATTAACCCATTTAATAAAATTCGGGCTTTAGCCTAAAAGAATATATCATACACATGTTATTGACAGAACACATATGACTTTTATAGACTTTTACTTATATGCCCATTGTACTACCGGAAGGACAGGCCAAGCTAACCCTATTCGCGAACACCTGGTGTCATCACTGATTTTCAATGATCCGTTCATATAATTATCACCGCTACTTTACCTTTTACGCCCTGTAATCTGATTCGTTGAATAATCTTGAGTGATTATTCTCTGAAGTTGACGTTAATATTTAGGAAAGGATCCTTGCCACTATACAAACAATATAACATTTGTTCATAATTATAGTTATGACTTTATGTTGCCTACAATTCTTTATATTCTGTCAAGAAGAACACGTTAAAAGCCTAAAAAACCAGAAATGTCATGTATGTTATTTCGTATGTAGGATTATCTCCTCTTACCTCCAGGGGCCTCTGCTATGGTGGCTGGTGGCGGTTGTTGCGTGGTTCCATTGCGGCCTGCATAGAAGTCTGCTATAGTATTCCTCTTGATAAGCTTCTTATGATGTTCCTGAACAAGTAGATCTCCGGGGTAGATGTTCATAGCTAAGTCCACGGAGCTCCGACGACGTCGTAGTCGCTCGGCGATGTTACTGCAAGTATAAAGGTCACACCCTCAACAGTCGACGACAAGCGACGGCCAGCTGAGTCTTGCCTAGAGGCGAAGATGTTGCTTCCTCAACACAAGGTTGTCGGATGACAAGTGAACTATGATGTGAGAGCATACTTTCAAATATAATGCGTTGGTTGTGATTTAAACAATACACAATCATCTCGGCTTGGCGTATGATGAGCTAGCCGATGCAAGACGTGTCTCATAAATTGGATGTCTTGGTGGGATCTGACTCGCCAACCTGTGAAGTGTGCTTGGAAACTAAAAACTGTCCTTCCGGCTCTGATCTGCCGTAACAGATCTCAGGTGTTCGATGCTAAATTTGTCACTTTAATGTTCGAAAAGAACTCGTAAAACTAGGGAATAAACAGCTCAAATTATTGGGAAAATGCGTTTACTCATTTCATTAGAAGTTGGTTCTTGTAAATGTATTCTTGCTGATGTTGTGACAAAGTTTGAATTCCAAGGAGAAATCAAAGTTGATGCGACAAATCAACTCTTATTATCAAAGCTTACTGAGGAATACTGTGATATTAATACAACACACACACAACTGCATAAACCTGATCACATTCAGCTGAAAGACAGAACTCACAGAAAATAGTCAAGACGTTTGATAGTGTCATTTACAGATTGAAATATGTACATTGCTAACATTATTTCCCATATGAACTCAAACCCGATCTTCTGCATGATAATCAAACACCACATCCACTCGGCTAGCCAGCATCCAAGTTTCTTATTGCGGAAAATGCATAGTAGATGCATTGTCGGATTCTGTTGTATTGGATGCATACAGACCTTACTGATTGTCATTTACCCAGTTAAGTAAAGAATATTTTATTTCGTAACTACAAGTCTACACTACTTCTACTTAATAGACATACAGTTAAATGGTACTAATTACGTTGCTGTCAATCAATCAATCAATCAATCAATCAATCCGTCAGTCAGTCAGTCCGTCAGTAAATCTATCTATCTATCTATCTATCTATCTTTAATTATGGTACTGATGAGGCCAAAGACCTATAGTACGTAGTCTGGGGTGTGTTACTAATTCATACATTTTCTTAGTTTCATAGCATGAAAAATGGTCACAGATAAATTTCAGTTCATGTACAATCAATGTAAGTAATTTACAACCTTTGTTAACATTTGGATTGTGGATGAAATAGTTGCTGGTAATAAGCACAAACATAAAATATTGAAAATAATCACTTTTAGACGTGTACAAGTACTATTATATACTTTTATACTCTTGTATATGTATATGGCCCCTGCAATAACAAAATAAAAATGTGACTGGCCTATATTCTTGTGTTCGTCATCATTCCGCTATTTAAACACATTTTATGGGTATCTCGTCAACGTGCGACACATAACCTTTACACGGTATTAATACAGTATTTAAATTGCCCTGGCCTTTGCATCTTCTGGGCCTATTCAGGTGATAAATTCTAATCATCAATAGTATCCAATAGAAATGACCAACTTTCAAATGTGTTACGAATCTCACGATTCTGAGATATAATCACATGTTGATGTCGGGGACTGTTTGCTTCACTCGTCTTAAGACGTAGAATATTGACCTTTATGTGGGCACTGATATATTTACATGTCTGAAAAGGTTAGAAATAAAAAAAACAACAATTGGCCAATCTGTCTCATAATGACACAGTTCATGAAAGTGACATTTGAAGGAAAATGGGCGCTTGTGGAGCATCGTCTGTAGGTGTTTTTTTAGGCCACACGTAACTGAGTCACAGACTGAAGATGTTCGTCAGTACATGTTGCATAGCTACTGAAAGCTTGGACTCGACGTTTAAACAACGTTACAGAATTTGAATGGTTTTGACGAAAAGCCAAAGCATGAGGTTTATTGTCAAAACTTGCAAAGTATCTTAAGAATAAATGGCGTATAGAGTCTTGGATAGACAATTTGGAAGAACATGCATACATGACCTTGTTCTAAGCATAACAACTTCTTCGGGGGTAAAAGGGTAACCGGGCTTATTCCGGAGTTCAGGCAATATGGAGTTATGATATGACCTTCTCCATTACCCAATGCATAGAGTAGAAGTGAAAATGCGTATACAATAACCAAAATCACTAATAGTCTTTCCTCACAATGCGATAGTCAATCTAAACAGCGCCATCAGAAAATCGATACATTCTCAAATACTGAATACATGCAGACTTAAATGTTCTTATGCGCTAAACACCCGGGGAAGTAATATGATTATAGTTACCTAATCTAATTCAAATTGTACGAAACGTTCTCGTTTTGACAGCCATGTCATACAAATATTGGCAAAAAGAAGTAGTACCCATTGTCAATGACAGGCTCCCTCTTGCGTTGTCTTGGTTGGTGGAAGTGAGCCTTTTGGGATAAACGTCTCCACAGGGTTTTGGCATCGCTGCAGTTCATTATTCTGAGATTGCAAAATCGCACAGGAAGTCAGAAGTCGTGTTAGTTATCAAAAGTGACAACTGCCAGGCGAGGTGTGAAATTGAATCAAGAATCTTAAACAAGATTATGCCCTTTCTCCCTTCCCTAAATTACACTGAGTGAGATTATGTAGTTTTTGTTGTGTGTAGGGATTATTTTACGATCCATAAACCGAGTGGTTTCTTAATGACGGTAGTCATCATCGCTATTCACATCCAGCAAGTTCCTTAGCATCATTTCAAGTGGCTTCCCATGTTGACATTGGTAAAAGGTTCCTTGGTTGCCAGAAAATCACAGTAACAATCCGTTCGATGCACTCACACGTTCCCAAAATTGAAATATACAACCTCCTCTTGAAGGCAACCGGTTTATGTCACAGACCAGAATGATAAATCGCAAGGTTTTGAAAATACACAAAGTCCTCTTGAAGATAACCAGGTTGTGTCACAGACCAAAAAGATAAATCGCAAGATTTAGAAAATACACAAAGTCCTCTTGAAGACAACCAGGTTGTGTCACAGATCGAACAGATAAATCGCAGCGTCTCGAAAAACAAAAAAATCTCCTCTTGAAGGAAAACAGGTTGTGTCACAGCCCAGGAAGATGTGCTACGTTTTGGAAATGCACAGACTCCCCTTTAAGGTGCCAAGGTTTGTCCCAAACCCGAAAATTAACACACAAACGTTAAGACCTTAGAGAGTCAACTGTGCTACATGTGCCAAAGTGGGTAAATGGTAAATCAAAGCCAAAAAGTTCCCCAGATAGCCCAGTAGTTCCAAGACTCGGTGTGTCAGATGCCTCTCACTGCAGGTGGTATGAAGACGAGGCTAGATGGACTCCAATACATTCTATTGATATTATGATTACCAGTGCAAATGAACATCCGCTGCGACTCCAAAAGTTCCAGAAACAAATCCTCTCAGTGCCACTGGGTCACCGTCTAAGTCCCACCATATTGCTGCTAATAAATTTGATAGACATGATTCCTGGTACTGCACCCTGGTGTTTGGGCAGGCCCTGGGGCTTGACGTAAGACAGGGAGATAGTTTGATGACCAATTCCCTGAGGGAAGTACTACAATAGGAGCAGCAGTGAAAACCTGCTACCCATTAAGCGTGAGAATCAATTGGTTTTCTCATATTCACATTCAAGGAACTGATTCCAGCGAAACTGATTAACAGAACCGGCGACCGTGTGACGTTTCACTGTGTGTTGATGTTCATTCAAAAGACATTGGAACAGATTTGAATGCAGAGATAATAAAAAGAAAAAATGAATATGACCAAAAAATATACTTAGACCACAGCGGTGACGAGAATGAGAAAAGTAAATTACATTTGTTTCAGTTGAAACGAATTTTCTTTGACATTGATAATGAGGACATTGAAAACAAACCATCAGATATTTTTTGGAAACAGTTTCAAACCAGTTTTCAGTAATGTCAAATATGCTGACAGGGCAAAAAATAACAACACAAGCCAATAACGACGTTTCGAGGATATATATCCCTGCTGCCCCAGTCTGACAAATAATTACAGGAACGGTGTGCCTGGCTATTGCTAGAACGTTGTCGTAATGATAAAACAAAATCATTGAGACACTAAGTCCTATTAACCCGAAGGTCATACCAAACATTAACAGCTTCTGAAGTACTAAGCACCGCGTTTAGGACACTGTCACTATGACGCTACGCTTGATGAACGTGGCAGAGTATCAAGGGGAGATTACAAGGCGACGTAACATGGTTATCTCCCTTCATGATCAATGACCTTTCGTCTTTAGGCGTTTCTGGACTTCTTTATGTGAACTGAAGAGTGTTTGCATGTCTCCCTAATATTGGATGCTCGTGTTTGAGTGAGTCCCAGGACTGCCTCCATGTCAAAACTAAGTAGTGATCAATACAATAGTTGGCGTTGAGAGCAAGAGTTAAATAGCGTTGAGTTCCCGGTTTGTTTACAAGACGGTGGGGTGTTTGGGTAGGGGCAACGCACGTTTTTCATTTATACGGAGATAAAAAAGATAAGTGGAAGAGGCATTTTGTACTTCAAAGGTGATCACCATGTCATTCGTTCAAATATATTCTGGCAAATATATTTTTCTGGATATACCAAGACATCATTATTATCATCGTCATCAATATTTTTAATAGTCGCCAAGCAGGATCTGCTTAAATATTCCTGAATTCCTTAATTGCATCATTTTGAATATACCTGAAAAGTTTAGAGAACTAATGTTCGGAATACCACCATGTTAATACAAGCATAAAACACATCAGAACAAATTCAACAGTATCACCTACATCACGCATCATTCATAACGATGTTGGAAGACAATTTGCAGTTGAAACATAAAAATACAGTATCGTTACCCACAATAGTGCAGCTGATAAACCAGACACGTTCAAGATTTATAGGACAATCATATATAAACATTTTTTAAAATTATGCAAACTAAACAAAGTAAAATTTGAACGTCAAGAGCTCGGTAAGGATAATAACCACATACCGTTTTCCTGGGATACAGTTCATGTCTGTTTCGTACGAAGACACCTCTGGTTTACCTGGGTTGTGCACACATTTCCTTCAGGGAGTTACATGATAACTGAAGCAATTTACGAGTAAATCATGCCGGAAAATCAATATGAAAGCTGCTAAATATACCTTGAAGTCGCATATTTCGCAACCAACAGTAAAATAGGTAGCAGAACACATCATTTACAACAAAAGACCTTGATTCCCGAAAATGGCACATACGTCAGTGGCGAAACTAAGCACGATTAACGACTTTCCTGTGTTCATTAACTAGCCAATAACGTTGACAGTTTGTTAATTGGGATGTGTATTCTTGTTGATGATGTGCGTGTTATATAAAAAGGTACGTGATGTTTGATTTCTAATAATCAATAGTTTTCTCAAGATATAAGGCCAACGTTTTCAAGTTGCAAACATTATGGCGACGAAACAACGTTTCGTATGAAGAACAGTATCGGTTTTCCCGATTACGATTTTATTTAATGGACTACATAATTTTCTAGTCCTAAGTCCCATGGTCTTACATTAACCAATATGAACTATCTTTCAGAGCAAATGAGCCATTTAGTACTACAAGTAGACATATTGTCACGCATGTACAAATATATTTCATACCATGAACCTACAACCTACGGATCAAAACCAATATGCAATGAAACGTATAACATACCAATATGGCAATCGGAGGAGTATGTTGGACGTGACTTACCTCAGATCGTGTGTGTGTAGTGATGTGCCGTGATGTTAAACTAATGTATGGCGTCTTACCTCGCTCCGTCCCCTTCATCACAGGAGTTGCTAGGTGACACTTCGGGGGATAGGGTAGTGGGGGACACATCGCCACAGTTCTGGAAAAAAAATAAATGATTACATCTTGTCGCTTGAAGATAATCACGAAAGGCAGTGCTGCTATATATGACATCTGATACATACCAGACACCAGGCTTGTACCTAAACCGCTCCACAGAAAGATTGAATACCAGTTGGTATTGCTATCACGACTTCCGAATGACTTTTGATTGTATTTGTTTGTTTGTTTGTTATTAACGCCGCGCTCAGCAATATTCCAGCTCTATGACGGTGGTCTGTAAGAATCGAGCCTGGACCAGACAATCCAGTGATTGATATCATGAGCATCAATCCACGCAGTTGGGATACTTATATGTCGCATTTTAAGTTGTACTATACTGTAAGATATAATAACCTGGTTTCAAACATAATATTACTCCTGTGAAAATGCATTTAAGAAGGATATTTTTGTGATAGTTACAAACCAACGGAAACATCTTTGTACTTTTTTATCAGTGATTCTTCGCAAACGAATTCGTTTTTTTTATTCGTAATGATTTCTTTCTAAACGTGTGACTTTGCTCAATTGAAAAAGGGGGCACGGGTGGCCCATCGTCTCAGGCGCCGCGATTCGCTGTGCAGAGATGCGTCCCTTAGGCACGCCAGAAACCTATGATTGTGGGTTCGAATACCTGTTCGCCCCGATTATGTTTCTAGGTTTGTCAGCACCATACCCGTGCTCGTGGGTTTCACCGAAGTGGTAAACGTCTGAGAACCTGCATCACTTCGGGCTTTCCTCCCACATTAAGTTGACACGCCGTGATATGACTGGAATACTGTTAAAAGCGGCGTTAAACCAAAGTCACTCACTCACTCACTCAATTGAAAAAAACCGTTTGTCTTGATTTGTTCAAGGTTATGGTATCTGTAAATTATCCCATGTTATGAAATATATCCAAGAGAACATTTCAAATATTCAAACATCAAAGTACGTATAAGATATACGAGAATTGTATGCTCTACTTATCATTGAATTGATCTTAGACGATGGATGTACCCGAGTGACGTCAAGCAATATTCATATTAACACACAACTGATGGTTCCAACCGAAAACCATAATTCATCTTGAGAAAAAATACCACAAACTTCACAACGATGGTAGACATATCGTAATGTTAACGGGGTTTTATGGGGTTGGGATGGGTTGGGATGGGTTAGGTTGGGGTGGGGTGGGGTGGGGTGATGTGGATTGGGTAGTGGATAGCCAAGAAGGCAAAGTGTTGGTTGGTCACGACGAGTCTTTGGGTTCCATTCTACATATTGGTACAAAGTGTTAAGCCCCCTCCATGACAATACTGGACTGTTGCAACAAGCGGCAAACCAAAACCCCCAAATGCCGTAAAAGGCGACTATGCTTGTCGTAAAGGCGACTAACGGGATCGGGTGGTCAGGCTCGCTGACTTGGTTAATGCATGTCATCGATCCCAATTGCGTGGATCGATGCCAATGAAATTAGTCCCTGGATTGTCTGTTCCAGACTCGATTATTTACAGACCGCCGTCATATAGCTGGAATATTGCTGACAAACCAACCAACCCTAATTATGTTTGACTGTAATTGTTTCTGAAAATCATATCCATTAACAACTAAATGGAATAGTTTCAGAAAAAAACCATATGTGCGAATACATATCCTCACACTGAAAACGCCCCGAAATAACCGACCAATGCTTACAAAGCCAGAAATCATATTCAGTATGAAACTTATTGACAGACCTATAAATCTAGCTTCTTGTCTCTAGCCTTTAAGCTAGCGAGAGACGAGGGTCCAACTTCATCAGACCAGAAGATTGGGTTCGGCCATCTTTAGTCTCCATCCGATCTGCCCTTTGTCATCGGGGATGACGATACTGTCTTGTCCAATGACACGTAGGAACAGTGCAGGCGTATTACCCATAATCCAAGCCATGTAATAATTAAAATGAATCTCATCCGGCCCCAGGTCGGATGCAGTAACACTGACACGATTGCAAGTAATGGTTGCTGACCTCTGTTGAATTCACCACAGGAAATGACTTGGATTATTTAACCGATTTTTCAAATGCAATTATTATTTTTAATTTACAAAAAAACAGATAAGTATGTACCGACCATTTTAACTATCATTCAACCAAAGTATACTTTGCATATGCATATTGGTATTGGCTTACTCTACCTTTGGCTAATGTAATTGTTTTGCAGATTGACAGCAAGCAAACTACAATTTATCATCACGCAATAAATCTCTCTTCACAATACCTATGTCAAATTTGGTGACAAATCTGTACAATAAAAAAATGTACAAAGACCATCCTTCACTGAACAATAGTGTTTGTGACGGTGCCCCCGAGACGCTCGCCTTTTTTGCCAACATCTTTCATAAGCACCATTTGATTCAAAAACACATGTTGATTATATTTGCGCGGGGTCAGCAGTCGTTTTAATTTGGAGACGCAACAATTGCAAGATTTACGGTAGTTGGAATCATACAATGGACTGCTTTTAGCAAATATCAAATATATGAAAATTTAAGTAAAATTTCAGAAATCAAAATTCTGGAAAAGTTGATAAATCCGGGTAAATTTGACACAATGTTTTTTTGAAAAAAACAAGACTCTTTCATCCTCAAATTGAATTTCCAGACATGTTTACAACATGCATTACAGCATTCGATATTACCCTTTAATCACAGTTCAAGGATACTGTTAGCCATTGATACCGTGCATCATGCATAACTTACTTCTTATCCGCCTGGAAAAAATATTGTTGGACGTTTATATTACTTTCGTAATGCTAAAAGCCTCAACTCTCAATTAATCAATCAATATTGTTGATCAAAGACGAGTAATATAATGTCTGTAGTGTTATTAACTTCTGATATTTAGGAAACATGCGATGGCGATCGTGACCTTTGAAACCCAATTTGAGCTCGTGATTTATCAGCGTTTCGCGTTCATCGGCAGGGTATTTCAAACAAGGGTTTTGTTTGTCGTCTGAGAAATTCCGTTGTCATGGAGAGGTTGCATGATTAGATATTTTGTGTACGTCATGTTGTCAAATCACTTAGTGGGAAAAATATTCAGAGATGAAAATACTGTAAAATTAAGTTCCACTTAATCGCAATACATGCGTCGGGTAGGACAAATGCATGGGTTGTTATTAACCATATTTAATTAATTTAAAAGGAATATTACCTTATATTTTTCTTCCACTTTCCCTGATAAGTTTCCATTATCATAAGAAATATCTGCCAAGAGTAGAGTCGATTGTACGATTTCGACTGTATCCTAAGCTTGTGTTTATGAATAACTATTAGTATCAAATAGTTATGATACGAGGTGTTCGGGAAAATGTGAGCATCGGTGGCAACCGTCACAAACACATGCATAGGCAAATCAAGTATAAAGCTGAAAAACACATTTTCTAAGGATTATGATAAATATGTCAATATTTTGTCTTGTTAAACATGAAATAAAGTACTTAAATTATATCAAAACAATTCGGATTTTTTTGTCACGTTATAGGTATACCTCATATTAACAATTATGATGACGCTACGCTATTGTCCTTGCAGTTGAATCTGATTCATTTGCAAGGAATTCACTGGTAATTCTGAACCTTCCTTTTAAACAACTGAAACTGACGCAACTAATGACACAAGTCCGAGATTCATAAACAAATGCTTATGATATAGACGGAATCGACTCTGATTTTGGCGGTGATTTCTTATGAGTATGAAAATGGTTTTGTCGCTTTTATTATTATTATTACTATTAATATTTTAAAGTGAGAGAAATCACTCGAATCTTCGGGGCTCGGTGATATTCTACTAAACAGATTCTCATGATTACATAATTAATTTCTGTTTATTATCCATTGTGATTCCTTCCTGACATCTATCCACAATTATCAGACCCTGAAGGGAATATGTCTATTACATATTTTATGTCTGAATATCAAAAAGATAAAACAACAAGTCTTGTTTGTAATTGAATCCTTTTTCTTCTTACTTCAGACCAGACTGGACAGTTTTGAAATCTGCTGAATCAGTTGTGCAATTTTATATTGTGAGAAAAACGACATACAGGAAGTACAAATAGTTTCAGATTGCTTGCCCTCAATAAACCTCTTCTCGAGAAGGCATAATATCAAATCGCTGTGAGCGTGCTTTAGGCCACGTGGCTCACTCGTAACCAGTGCTTGGCTCACGGGGACATACCATGTCTGAATTCTTGCCACGTGAAACGGCAGCACATATTGGAAAGTAGCTTATTACTGACACGATCTGTGATGCCAAAGGAATGATCTCTGTATAAACGATATATCCAGTGATGAGTCATCGGGGCCCTCTGTCTCGTTTATTACGCCAGCGTCCATCCCCTTTGATCGATGGTATTATTTTGCATGTTATTATGATAAATACCCTCGACCCATCGGCACCACAGCGTCAACCCGATTCGAATAACACGACGCTGATAAATCTTCTTTTAAATATCTCTCCTGAGCGAGAGATATTATGAGGGATAGAATGGTGGAAGTGGTGACGTCACTTCGTGGCGAAAGGGTCCAGTATACGTATCATGATAGAATGGATATACAGAAACTACGGTTATAACGAACTCAAAGGGACCACTTTTTTTAGTTCGTTATTTCCCTAGTTCATTATAAGAATATATACAGCATATATACAGCAAATAGAAGCGACCAAAACACAGTTCGTTATATCCGTCAGTTCGTTATAAGCGAGTTCGTTATAAACGTAGCTTACTGTATTATACATTGGATAATTAAGGATGGTCATAGTTAGAAAGGAGCGTATGGTTAGTCCGGTGGTCAAAGCGTTCGCTCGTCACAATGTAGTTCCGTGTTTGATCTTTACTATGGTACACTATGAAGCTGATGTCTGGTTTCCGTAAGCAGTGACCTGGACATCATGAACATCGATCTACGGTAATACGATGCCATACATCAACCGTGTCAGCGATCCCGTTAGTCACCTCTTACAACAAGCATAGTCGCC